TGCGGTTTTGAGTAATGAACAAGGCTGGGAGTTTTTAAAAGCCTCAGTAATCTTTTGCAGGTGTTTAGAGTTACGTCGTTCATTCAGATGGTTAGGTTAACAGCTTGTTTAGAGAACCTTTTCACAATATGCTAATTTTTTGAGAAGGACCTGTAGAATGATGGACAATGATGGGTACCCCAATACCCAAAAGGGGGATTGGATAATGTGTTATAACTATTTCGGGATTACACTTAGGTTTCCTGGGAAAGTTTACTTCAGGATTTTTGATAGGAGGCTCATACCAATAATTAAAGGACAGGTACAGGAGGAGCAGTGACTTTTGTTCTGGTTGTGGACTAGCAATGTATACAAATAAAATGATTTGACATCCTTATGTATGCTCAATAACCCAGGTAGAGAAATCTAACAAGGTTAAATAAGGACATCTTGACAGATTCTTCTTTGTTGAACGGTGAAGAGGACTGTGTCCCTGTTTAACGATAAACAGGTTATATTAACAAATATGACTTTCTTTACTCCTCTCTTGAACTAATGTTCCTTTCTATCAAGGATGTGCACATCATCACTAAAAGTGTGACCGCTGGCCTGCAGATGAGTGTAGACCGCAGTGTCCTGGCTTGATGATGTTGATCTTCTGCACAGGGCCATCCTTTTGGCCAGTGGCTGTTTAGTTTCCCCGATGCAAGACTGATCACAGCCCTCCTGACACTGAACAACATACACAACATTACTCTGTTTGTGCCGGGGGACTGGATCTTTGGGATGAACCAGTCTTTGCCGTAATGTATTTTGGGGTTTGAAAGCCACTGGGACATCATTTTTCTACCTGGATAATAGAGCATGCATCAGGATACTGGGACATCATGTTTAGAAAATAAATATCTCAGTTTCTCTGATACTCCCATCTGGGTTTCTTCGTTTCACCTGATGGCTGACTGGAGTCCTGTTTGGGTTTCTTCTCTGCTTTCAGGAAGGCCCAGTTAGGATATCCACATTGCTCTAGGGCCTGTCTTGTGTGGGATTTCTTGCTCTGGCTGACTTCTGAGTTAGTGCGGACACTGTCAGCTCTGTGGTACATAATCCTGATGACTCCTAACTTGTGCTTCAGAGAGTGATGGGAGTCAAACCACAAGTACTGGTCTGTGTGGGAGGGTTTGTACTAAACATCAGTTTCTAAATGTCCTCCATCAGTGACTGAGACCTCACAGTCCAAGAAAGCCAATCTGCCACTTTTTACATCTTCTCGTGTGAACTTGATGTATTTATCCACAGAGTTGATGTGGTCAGTAAAATGTTGGACTTCCTGAGATTTAATTTTAACCCAGGTGTCGTCAACATACCTGAACCAATGACTTGGTGGTGTCCCTGAAAAGGACGTCAAGGCTCTCTTTTCTACCTCCTCCATGTACAGGTTGGCAACAATAGGAGAAACTGGAGACCCCATAGCACACCCATGTTTCTGCCTATAATATTGCTCCCCATATGTGAAGTAGGTTGACTGCAGGCACAGTTTCAAGAGTTGACACAGTTGTTCTGTGGAAAGCGTGGACCTGCTGCTCAGAGTGGTGTCTGATTTTAATCTTAAACTGACCACCTCTACTGCATCATCAACAGGAATGCACGTAAAGAGTGATGTGACATCAAAAGAGACCATTGTTTCATCAGTCTCCATGATGACATCCCTCACCTTGTCCACAAAGTCCATGGTGTTCTGTATGTGGTGTTCTGAGCTGCCAACTAAAGGGATGAGTACAGATGCCAGATATTTGGAAACATTGTAAGTGACAGAGTTAATCATACTAACAATAGGTCTTAAAGGTACACCTTGTTTGTGGATTTTAGGTAAACCATACAGACTAGGTGTGGCCTCCCCTGGGTACAGTCTGTGGTACAGAAAACGGTCAATAGCCTTGTCCTGCTCCAAAATTTTCAGGTAATCTATCAACTTCTTCTTGTAACCACTTCCTGGATCTCTTTTCAGTGGCTCATAAGTGGTTAAGTCATTAAAGAATGTCATAACTTTCTCATGATAGTCTTTCTGGTTCAAAATCACTGTGCACCTTCCTTTGTCTGCTGGGAAGATGATATTCTTGTCCTTGCTGAGAGTGGTGAGTCCATCCCTCTCCTCTCTGCTGATGTTGGAAGGTGGTGGCTTGGCGTTGCTGAAGCAGGCTGAAACTTTGTTCCTAAGTTGTTCTGCTTTAAACACCTTAATTTTGTTGTTACATATGTTCACAAACTTGTTTTTTTTTGTGAACAACTAGTTCTGGCTGTCACAAGCAAACTGGTTGATCCACTATGAGAAGGTGCTGCTTATAAGACTGAGTTTAGTGCATCTCCTTAGACTGACAACGTCTTTTTAGATAAAAGACAAAATGTTTCAATACATAAGAACCCGTCCTGAGGACCTGACTCAAACTTTTTAGCTCATTAGTTGATCAACATCTTTGTTGCTCAAATAGAGAGCTGCCTGTGTCTTCTGGAGTTTGGAATGATGACATGTACAATTTGTCTATGCTAGCTAAATCATGCTAGTGGAATATATTATTTGTGTCAATTTATCAAATAAAAAAAACTAATATTATGTAAATAACATATATTGGTGCTTTGAAGTGAATATATTAGGCTTATAATGTGCAGACAGCTGCAGTGTAGGAGAGAGAGACAACCCTAAATTAAAAATGTTTTCAGCTGCAAGCTAAAATGAAAGCCAAAACTTATAGTAGACCTTTGTAGATCACTCTGAAGAACCTGTACAAGTGACGGCATTGAGATTTTTCTGTCATTAAAAAAAAAGTATTTATGATGGAATATATTAGGCAAGTACATCCTAATTGTTAAGGCATGTGAGTAAAGTGATTTTGTCAAGCTCTATCACAAACCTCTGTATTAGGAATATAGGAAATAAAACACTGATACTCACTAAAGTTTGTATACTGCGATAGTCATTGGAAATGCATTTCATATAGGTGGAATTTTCCCAGTAAGCGATGCCCTCCTCATCCAGTGAACATCGCCGCAAGATTAGCCCTGTGGGAGGACACATAAAATAAATGAACACAGCTCTGAAGGCCATCTGTCTTATAAAGCCTTTAAATAGAACCTTCTGTCAGTTCTTGAAGCATGGACACTTACCCATGGCGTTGGGAGGACATCGTACTGCTGCCGTATCCCCCGCAGGAGTCATCTTCCAAACAACATTGGAGAAATTGTCCTCGCCACATATTTCATGAGGTTCTGTTAACATCAGAGAAGTATAGCTTGATACTCAAACATGGAAAGGATGATGGTCTCATGCTGACAAAACAAACAACGTTCCTATTCACTCACCTGGACATCTCTTTTCGTTACAATGACGGGCCTCTTCTCGTTCTCCCGGACAATGTTTTCCTCCAAAAAAGGGTCCATAGCACATCCTGTTTCTCTGCTGCCTCCCCCCTCCACAGGTTTTAGAGCAACCAGACCACAGGGACCATGGTTGCCACTTTCCATCCACTATGAAAACAAAGACAACATGAGTGTAAGATCATAATATACAAAATATGATGATTAAATGCACACACACCTTTTTAATGTAGTTCATTTTGTTATCTCAACTAAATCAGGAACCCAGTAAAAAAAATTGTGATAGCTCCAGTGACTGCTCAATCAAAAAACTGATGACTCAATTTGAATCACTGCCAAACTGTGCCATCATACTTTTTGGTCATTTTTATCCCTCCCTGTATCTTTTAACTGCAAAAATAATAAAAAGGGCACCATGCACGAATAATTTTTACCCATCTCTGCTCACATCAGTGCGTCTCAGCACATTTAGCCCCTGGTACTGGAGTACAATTTTGAAAGAAAAAAAGTTAAGGGCAAGATAAAAAAAAAATAGATATCTTTTTTTTCACTGATGTGGTTGGGCCTGGACATTTTGAAGTGAAGCCCTGGAAGTTTTCTGAACCACTCTCAAGATAACTAAGGAGACCGAGATGGTGTAGGGGTAGGGCAGCTGACCTGGGACTAGAAAGTCACAGGCTCAACTCCCTGCCATGCCCACATGTCGTGGTGTCCTTGAACAAGACACCCAATCCTTAATGGCTCCCCTGGTGCCACAGAGTTGCTCACTTCTCCATCAAGGTGCACCCCACATGCAATGGTTTAATTGAAGAGCACTAATGTCATTGTTGTATGGAAACACACAATGATGACAACACATAGCATTTATATGCACATATGTGTGCACTTATAATATATATATATATATATATATATATACACACAAAATTAAAATGTAGACATTTTCAAATAAGGTATTAAGCTCTTAGAATAATTAACGTGCTCATGTATAAACACAAGCAGGATAGGTTTTGTTTTTATGTTTTTGTTTCTCTAAAATGTAAATGGTTAATGGACTGTACTTATATAGCACCTTTCTATTAATTAACTAAGTATTTTTTATCAAGACACTCAAAGCTCTTTACAACACAATATGTGTTTTCATTTACCCATTCATACAGCACTCTACTATATCTCTACAAAGACTAATCCATGCTTTAGATCACATTCATACACCAATGGGTCACACATTGGAGGGAATGAGAGATTCAGTGTCTTGCCCAGGGACACTTCAACATGTGACTGCTGGTGGAATCAAACCCCCACCTCTCCCATTAGACAATGACTGCTCTAAGCACTCAGCCACAGCTGCCCCTAATATACATTTGCTTAAATGAAACTGCACTGTTTAGCGTCTGTGCTGGCACATGAAATTTAAGCATAAAGACAGGGCCATTACAAGAGTTGAAGAATTTTCTATTTGTGCTACATGAGGAGAGGATCTTCATTCAACTGTCAGCAAAGATGAACAAAATTCTCAGTAAGATGACACATGCAGCCCCTGACACTTTTGGACAGTACAAACATGTTGTTGCTCAAAAAGCCTCTGATGAAATGTCAACTATTACTGATTTTTCTTTTACTAGGTAAGATGGGGAGACAAGCTCTTAGTGGGCTTCAGTTAGCCCATGATGGGTGTGACCCACTCTAGGGACAGGTGGCAAGTTTGGCTGGGGAGTTATAAATGTCAAATAGTACTGCAAAGGTCACTAGGCAACCTTATAAGAAAACATCCTGTGTAGCAGAAGGGCAAAAGCAGCCCACTTCTGACACCAATGTAACGTTGACGTGGTCACTCAAGCACCAGACGCTTTGCTCTTGCCAATGCTTTATTCAGGTACAATAATTACAGGTCAGCTAGCTCTGAGTCACTGTTCAGCCTTGACCCATGCCAGAGCTCCCAAGCCTCACTCCACAGGTACTTCCAGAATAATCACACAGACAACAAAGGAAAAACCACACTCCATACTAATTTCCCAACAACCCTTGTGGCACCAGAAGAACATGTCATCCATAAGAATCAGTAACAGTGCCCATGAACAGAAGGTATTTCCTTCTTTGTCTGTGTGATAATTCTGAAGGTGCCAGTAGAGTGAAGCCTGAAAATTCAACAAGTCTACTGGAATTTGGCAGTTTGGGAGGAATTTGGGGGTTATTTTTTGACAGTTTTTAAAAAATAGACAAACAAATAAATACAGTTGTGAAATCCAGCTTTTCCGACTACGACTTATTACCAAGGTGAAGTCTTGTCTCCCTTTCAGAGACCTTGAAAAGGTGATTAATGCTTTTATTAGCTCACGTTTGGACTATTGTAATTCATTGTATGTTGGTTTAGATAAATCAACTTTGCATCATTTACAAACTGTCCAGAATGCAGCAGATTGTCTTTTAACAGCATTAAGAAAAAAATGAACACAAAACTCCTATCCTGGCTTCTCTCCACTGGTTTCCTGTCCACTTACGGATTGATTTTAAGATTTTATTGCTTGTTTTTAAAGTCTTAAAAGGTTTGGCTCCGCCATATTTATGTGATCTTATTAACATCTACACTCCAAAAAGAGCACTCTGGTCTACCAACCAGCCCCTCTTAGAAGTCCCAAGATCCAAACTGAAGTCCAGAGGCGATCGGGCTTTTGCGGTTGCTGCTCCAAATGACCGCTGAGACTGTTGAGACTTATAAATCTTTGCTCAAGACTCTTCTGTTTTCCTTGGCATTTGATTCATGCAGAGTCTGAGAATCAGTTAGAGCTGATTAGGCTCGGGCAGCGAAGCGCTGCGAAGGCCTATTGTAATCGCTCTGTTCATTAGGCCCGAGCAGCAATTTTTCCGTCAAATGAATTGGCCTTTTGGAGGCCAAAACATATCTGAAAGCTCACAAAATTGGTGGATGCATTAGGACTGCGTGAAAATTACATATTTTAAGGGCGTCGCAAAAATACCAACAGAAACGGCTCAACAGCGCCACATGGAAATTTTCAAAATACTCTCCGTATTAAACTTACGTTGTCATACAAGCGTGACATTTTGTACACTTGTCCAACTCCCCAAGATGCACAGAAAACCCTCTGGCAACAATGCTGTATGATAAACAGGAAGGTGGCCATTTTGAATCGAGGTCCCAAATTTCACACCTTTTTTGGAGGTTTACAGCCTACGCATTTGAACAAACTCCTCCTAGGGATTTTGCACAATGGGTTTCGAACTTGAACATTTTGTATGTATATATATATATATATATATATATATATATATATATATATATATAT